GATCTCTAGCATCTGTAGTTCTTTGTTTTATTCCTGGCAGAGAAAACATTTGGGAAGCACTAGACTATGGCATATTTCACAAACCATTTTCGATGCAACCCCATTTTAATTCACCACATCTTCTCAAGGACAATTAGTAACAGATGTCAAGAGCTGCCCTTACCAAAGTCAGCACCTCTTGAACAAATACATACGTTAAATAAACTAATGTAACCTAAAATCTCAAAGTAGCACTGTAACACATAATATTCTATTAAAATTCAAGTAGTGTACATCAACTTATACAAAATATGTAAATGAGTGTTTTTAAAGTGCCTTCTTTCCATTCCATGGTGACAGAAGATTCAGTGAATCATTACTCCAGCCATAACACTTTTCCCAACTGCCTTCCCCCACTCACTCACACCATTTGCATTCCAATTCTCTCATTTACCCTCCCTGCACTATATTCCTATTCAGTCCACAATCACTCACACCCTCTCATCCCACTATGCATGCCACTCACTCCTCTCCATCCCACTACTTATTCCCCAACCCTGTTCCTCCATCCACACCCATTCACCACCTCTTTCTCCACACTCCTCCCACCTGGATTTCCCCATTTTGCCCAAGTATCAAGGAGCTGGAGTGGAAATGTGACAATGAAGATGGTGCATAAAATGGAAACATTTTAAACTAGACTCACTTTCTTCTCTTTAGAAATACTCAAATTTTTCTCTAAAATTCTCAACCTCCAAGGGCAATGAAAGCTCATTCTTTGATTGTGCTTAAGGTATAGATTGATAAATTTCTGATTGCCAATGGCAAACAGGGTTTATAGGGATGGACTGGGGAAAAAGCATCAAAGTGTTTAATGCAGGGCAGGCTCCAGGGGTTTAATAGCCTATTCTGGTTCCTACATTTTTATAAAATATTGATTTACACAAAAAAAAAGCTAGATTCCAAACCCCAGGCTCTAGCTCCACACCATTACCCCACCTCAATTCGTCTCTCCCCCAGTTCCTCCCTTCCCTCCAATTCCCGACCTGCAGCCAGCCCAGCAGCAGATCACGGTTCTTCCACCTGCTGTGTCATCTTCTCCCTGAAGTCAATGGCAACTGCAGATCCTCAATCTATGTCAACTGCACGTACCTGCCAGAAATTGAGAGCGCATCCTATTTGCCTATTGGCCTCGTATTAGAAGGCACAAAACAGTCAAGGTAGAGGCAGTGCAAAGCAGTGACTGCTGCCAAGGGCAGGATGTGGTTGGGACTAGCCAAACTGGAATCTCCCACCTTACCTGGGCTGCAGTTGGGTCAGTGTCAAGTTATTTGACCACTAATGGGACCTCATGTTAGGCAGAGAAGATTTACCGCTCCTACAGCCAATGGGGGTATCCAAGGAGGCATCCCAGTTCAGGAAGACATTCTGTAGTCTGCACAAAGCAGCGCCACTAGGAGTGTACCCTCTACATTTCCTGAGTTGGTAGCAGATTAATGAGGGGTGATGCTCAGAGACTGATTTGTGGACCAGTTGGAGAGAGAAAAAAAAGATATTAATACGGTGGAATTCCATGATTCAAAAGTTGTAATTCTGCCAAACTGCGGGAAATTTCCATTCCTCGTCATTACAGCCACCCCATGACCTTTCTTCCCTTTACCATCTTACTTGAAAACCTTGTATTTAGGAATAGTTAGTTTTTGCTCTGGACACCTTTGTGGTTTCTTCTACTTGCTTCTCTACACACACACACTATCTACGGCACAAAACAAAACACTATTTTCCAGCTCCATTCAGTTCCAAATAGTTAGGTGGACTTGAAATGTTAACTCTAGGGTGCGAGAATAATAGACATCTTGTCTCCATAGGTGTATGTTTGGAACAGTTTTGCCCAGGGACAGACATTGGTTGGTTTTTCCAATAAGGACCAATTGTGTGTTCAAGAATGCTCAGTACAGCAACTTAAGGTCTAATGGGAGAGTTGTTGTGTCCCTATCTCTGAGCCAAGATATCAGGGTTCAAGCCCACCTACTCCAGGAGTGTAATGACATCTTGAATAGGTCGATTAGAAAATAAAAAACTCCAATTAAATCGCCATGATCAATTTACTTGACTGACTGCTATTCGGGACAAAGTCAATTATAGTAACAACTTTTTGATTGACTCCTGGACAAGTGGCTATAGATTGGTGTTTGCACTATATAGCAAAAACATCCAGTTTGTGAAAGAGGAGTTACCTAAATCCCTCTCCCCCTCCCTTTCGACAGTGCTTAAGTAAAAGATTCTGAATAGCTAGCTTCTCCCTCCCTCTCTCTGCAAATTATCTTCTTGAAAGACAAAGTAGAAAAGCCACTTTCAGAGACATTAGAATTACTGTATCCACAACCTTGTGTTCTCTAAAAGCTGAAAAACTCTCTCACCAGCATGGTGGCTCAATGGTTAACACTGCTGCCTCACAGCACCAGGGACCTGGCATCGATTCCAACCTTGGGTGACTGTTTATGTGGAGTTTGCATATTCTCCCTGTGTCAGCATCGGTTTCTTCTGGGTGCTCCGGATTCCTCCCACTGTCCAAAGAGGTGCAAGTTAGGTAGATTGGCAATGCTAAATTGCCCATAGCATCTAGGGTGAAGAATGCAGGGACGAGGTAGGGGGTAGGTCCAGGTGGGTTGCTCTTTGGAGGGTCAGTGTGGATTCAATGGGCCAAATGGCCTGCTTCCACACTGTAGGGATTCTATGACTTCTATGACTTCTAATTCTATGACACTTGTAATCCAGACTGGCGCCAGAACTGTGCTTCACTGACTTTTGTTCTTTTCTCACCAAGATAGTTGTGAAATGTCTGTTTGTGTATGGGATTTTTTGTTTTAGAAAAGGGAAAGAGTTTAAGTTATGGTTAGAAGTTCTTCATGTCATTCCTTAAAGTCATTTGGTTGCAATAAAAAGTGATTTCCTTGTCAATGAAAAAGGCCTGGTGTGTACATTCTTGCAATCTAAGTTAGATAGTTCAGTAAATTTGGGCAATTCAGTGCTGAATCAAATTCTCACATTTGTGATAACTCTATTTTTAGTGGGGCTTGATGTCCAGCACACAAGGGAATTGCGACATGCTATTTCCATTTCACAACTATTCTAAGAATCATTCATAGTAATATGGCCATTATAAAAGTTTTCATAGGACACTTTCATATTTTGCAAGATCGGTCTGCTTTTCTGTAGAACAAACTGGATCACTATTCTCATTATTAGAGAGCTTCTCTAAATTGGAAAATATATATCTTTTAGAGCTTTCCATTCTTTGGAAGACAATTTGATCCAATCCTTTGCTTCTCTTTAAGATGATTATTCTTTACAAGTACAATCTTTTTATCTTAAGGTTTTATTTCAGAGCTGAAGATGTGTGGCATGTTTCCAAGCAGGCAATGGGTTCTTATTGATGAAAATAACTCAGTATTTAAGCAAATTTTAGTTTTATTTTTAGTGTAATCAACGACAGTAAAATGTTGTCTTACTTTATCCAGGCTGATCATTCAAAAAGGAGATATTAACATTGTTGCGCACAAGGGATGGGCTGTTTTAATTCTACAAATCTTAGATCTACTCTAGGACAAGATTTAATGTGGAGAGTTCCACTGCTCCTAACCCATTGCAGTTTACTGATTGAGAAAAAGCCGAATACTTTTTCCCTATTTTCATCTGATAATTTTACTCACCAGAAACATGATATCCTAAAAATGTCCAAAACGTTTAACCTCCCTTGTTAGACTAACCATTTGGAACCTGAAATTTCAAAGTCATTTCAAAACTTTGTTGTCCTGGTCCAAAACTACCTCCCCATTATTTAGAGCAATTTTTTGTTCAATCATGGGTTGTGGATATGCATCCCCAAGTACCCTTTTGTGATAGGAGACTTATAATGGCATACTCAATGAGTCACTATAATAGTCAGCAAGGAAGAAATAATAGAATGATTACAGTACTTCAGGAGGCCATCTGACCTGTCAAAAGCTCACAATTTTGTAGTTGAACACCTTTCAAGCCACTACATTGAATATGCAAATATAGATGGAAGTAGACATGACATCCACCAATAATGTCCGATCCAGACATGTGCAACCACATACAGGATAGTCCAAAACCTGACAGTGCAATTTCCTGATAAAAGCAAAAACTGAAAAATGACTTACTGAAATGCCCCTCCTGCCCCCTAAGGATATTGCAGTCTCCACAAATTCTCACACATTTATTCCTTAAAACCAAAAGTGTCCCCTTTACTCAGAACCTGTAAAGTTGCCTTTTAAAGAACAGCTGCAAAACCTTATCCACTATGTGTAAGCAATTAGTTCATTGTGGGCAAGATCTCTCTTCAAAAGATTGTATCATCTGACATATGAGATAATTTTATGCTTACGAATTTTACACAAATGCCCTCTAATTCTACCACCTTTACGCATCTAACCTGATTAAGGCCAATGTTATCAACATTTTAAAATAAACTATTATACCTCCTCTAAACATTCATTTCTTTAAATGAAATAAACCCTTAATCCAATTGTTGTTCCCGTCGCTCTTCTCACCAAGAAATTTTCACTAATAAATAAGATCACAAGATAAAGTCAAGGATAAGAGGCTGGATTGGTTTACAAAATCAAATCCGGCCAGAGCACGAGTTCTTATATTTCAGATTGAAGTTCATTTTGAAAATTCAATTGTTGTACTCCAATTGGAGCATTAATACAAACACCAAATTTTACTCATTAATGCTTTGGGTAGCCAACAAGACATCCCCATTCATAAAAGGAGCCGAATAATATCATGGTTGGAATATCTTACAATCAATAACTTAAGTTGCAATTAGTAAACTTCACACATTTGAGATGTTCAAGTGCTAAATAATATAGAAAAACTAGAAAGGAGGACTATGTGTGGCTTGATACAATTTCTAAGCTTGGTCTCGAAATAAGAATTATTGAGATAAATATGCAAGACACCCAATATTATGAGGCTAACCAATTCAGCACCTGATCAATGATGGAATCCAAGGTATTAAGTAGTAGGTATCCTCGACCCTGAACTAGATATTCTCCCAATGCGACCATGTGACTTTCTTCCTCCTCTTCCTTACATTCAGATCTCTGAGCCACAGCATTGCAAAGCCGGTGCACATCTGTCAGGAATTCCCGTGCCAACGTGTTACAGGCACTGCTCATGTCTGAGCTGTGGGAAGAAGAACATTTCATAAGTAAACAACATCACAATCTCCTGTCAAAATACTAATTACTTCTTTGCTGTAGGTGAAAGATGTCTCTTGTAGTAATCACAAAAATGAAAATTTTCAACTTTTAACTTATTTAACAGATTGTAGATTATCAACATGTCAGTCTTTGAAGCAATCTCCGCATCAAAATAAATGAAATTTCATAGTTCATGCTACTTAAACAATTTCAGAAATTACATTAAAAAAGTTGCAACTTACCCTGGCTTTTACCTTGCTATCATTTATACAAATTATATAAGAAACTAATTTCAAAACAATAAAGGATCAAAGTTAAACATTTCATTCATGTTACTCAGGCTTCTTATTTAACTTGTTACTTGCAGCTACAAGCTCTCTCACAGATCCTTATTTTTATTTGGAGCCAATTATTAAACTCTCCACCCCAAACCTCAATGATATGAAAAAAACTAAGCTGCAGGCTCAGAAATGCCAAAATCACATGGCATCATGTGATATCACATGGATGATCTCTCCTCCAAAATAGCATCACAGACATACTGTCTCATTCATGCTTTATTATTTATTAACAAAAATAGACTGTAGCTCCCCAATAATGAAAGCATGACTGGAGCAAAGAAGTCTGTTTTAAAAGTATATTATGAAACTAATTTATACTGTATATTCTCAAACATCAGCATATTCATGCCAAAACACTAATTTAAAAAATAAACTTTAAAACTTTGATATACATCTTTTATCCAATATGTCCTAAAGTGATATTGGGGAGACCTAGTGGTATTATCGCTGGACTGTTAATCCAGAGGGCCAGATAACATCCTGGGGACCCAGGTTCAAATTCCGCCATGGCAAAAATATCTAGAATTACGAATCTAATGATGACCATGAATCCATTGTCAAGTATCAGAAAAACCCATCTGGTTCACTAATGTCCTTTAAAGGAAGGAAACTGCCATCCTTGCCTGGTCTGACCTACATGTGACAGCAGACCTACATCAATGTGGTTGACTCTGAAATGCCCTCTGGGCAATTAGGGATGGGCAATAAATGCTGCCTGGCCAGCGACACCCACATCCCGTTAATGAATAAAGGAAAAACATTTCGAAAAGCTATCAACAATACAAAAGTGAAATAACTACATCCCACGTTTATAGATTCAATGTACCCTCACCAGACACAGATTGGGTTAAGGATAAATTTATTGAGCATATTATTAGACATTGTAACACTTCTCTTCATCAACTAGGTACGAACACATCACTGCACTTTATACGACTAGTTTTTACATCATATGACAGTTAACATTAACAAGCAAATGTATTAACTTCAGTGTCAAAAAACATTTATTTGAGTTGACAAATGCCTTTTCAAAACCCTGCTAATCAGCTGCTGATAATAACAGTAATCAGCAAGTCAATTATGTAGCAATGCAATTAGCCACTCTACCTCAACTTAAATGACATTTTGTCTCAAAGACGCAGTCACACATACTGTGGTATGGCTCCACAGCCACCTCACAATAACATCAATCATACACAATTCCAAAAGTGGTTTATTGACTATAGCGGGGAGCATTTGAAACGCCACTTCATACCAAGCCATGGTTCAAGTGCTGGAAACTAGGATTAGAATGGCTGGGGATACAATGACCTGAAGGGCCTCTTTCTGAAGTGTAAAACTAAGACTCCTAACTGATTGTGATTCCACCTTCATCTAACATTTACAAGAACACAAGTTCATATTATCCACGTTTCTCAATTTATCTCATTGACAATAGGGATACCACACAGTTCTGCTAAACAGAGATGCTTTTTGAAGGACACAAGACCAAGAGTGAGGAGCTAAAGGAATGGAAAGGTCATTCCTCCATGTTTTGAGGATCCGAGACTTGTTTCATCACTGTCAATAATAATAATTAACTAAAGAGCTTAGATAAGTCATAACCAGAAACATTGGGAATGCTTCAAGTCATAAATGTATTTTCTTGGCCTGTATGTCCCTTCTCTTTCCTCTCCAAAGCTCTGAAAAAGTGTTCTCACCTCCCAAGACCTTTCCAATCTTTCAAGGGCATAAATGTTGGATTTTGCCCCAAAACCTGGCTTCTGCCACAGTGCAGAAATAGTTCTAATCAAAATCACAACCATCTTATGAGCTGTCACAAAGATAAACATTCTCACTTCAGCCCATCTGAATTGACAACACCATCTTCCTCCAAAACCTCTCTGCCTTCATTATCCAAGTGGACACTTCTCACCTGGTTCCATTCTTATCTAATTACTGCCAGAAATTCACTTTCTATGGCTTCTTTTCCAACCTTTCAAGATGGCAGTGGAGTAGTAGGGTTGTGCGCAGGGTCTTGCCCAGGGCTCATCCATTCCCTTTTGTTTCTTTTCGTTTTTAACTTTTGCTTTTGAGCCTTTCCTTTACCTTTTTTCTTCTTTTCCTTTTGTTTTCTGTGCCGTGTTGGGTTGGTTGGCAGTATCGGTGAGGCAGCGAGTGCGGGACGAATGCAGAATGGTGGATGCGGCTTCTCAGGTGAGTGGAGGTGGCAGCAAAGCTCCTCCAGTGATCGGGGATGACGGCACCGGCAGCAGTGGACTCTTCAAGATGGTGATACTTGCAGTAAAAGCAGGACTCTTGTTGCAGCAGCAGCCTGACCTGGCAGCAAAGCCAGGAACTCCTGGCTGCATTGGGTTCAAAACAAGGACTCCTGGTCCTGGCATGGCAGCAGCACCAGCAGCATGTTATGCCCAAAGCAGGGATTCCTGGCATCAGAGGCAGCAGCAGAAGCAGGGACTCCTGATGGCAGTCATAGCAGGCCTGCAGCGGGGACTTCTAGCTGCGGGCTAAGTGCAGGTTCAGCAAGATGGGTCCAGCAGCGAAGTGGTGGCACCTGAAGCATGGCAACTTCTACACTGGTGGCACCTGCACAGATGGTGGCAAGGCAGTGGAGAGGTCTCTTTCTGTAATGATTAGAACCAGGTGGACCTCACTGATTACAAGAAACTTGACTGGGGTTGTTAACCCTGGCCAACCAGAAAGCCCTGGCTGACCAATAAAACATGGGATTTAGAACCTCCTCAGTTCAAAGGACTGACTCCAAGCTGGCTGGCCACATCCAGTGCACAAGTAAATAAAGTGTGACTTGGTATTGGGATACTGGCCTCTTGTGCAGTTATTTCACTTTCAGTTACTTGTGGCTACATGCCAGTGTGGACTGAGTTGGAAAGACTGTTATTCTGAACATTTTATTTCTCTATTTTTCTAATTTATTCTTATGATCTGTAATGCTGGACTTTTTTTTTTTTTTTTTTTTAAAAACTTTTCTAATCTTATCTCCCCCAAGGATTTAAGAATCTGTACCTAAGTATCTTTTGTACCTATGATGGTGCCATAATGTGGCCACTTGTAAACTTTTCACTGTACTCATTTGAGTATGTGACCACAAAGCTAATTCAATACTCTGACATTACAAATAGTGTACCCCCAAGGCTTGATCATGGACCCCTATGCCATCTATATGCCATCACTTATAACAGATATGCTGACAACACCCAGCTATGTTTCACCATAATCTAATTCCTCCAGCGCTAAATTATCAGACTGTTCATCCAAACTTTAGCCATGTATGAGAAAAATTTCCTCCAATTGAATAATGGGAAGACAAAACTAATGTCTTCACTCCCTTTTTCCAAACTCCATTCTCCCACGATCAAATTTATCCTTTGCTCTGACAATAGTCAGATTAAGCCAATCCATTTGCAACCTTGATACCACATAGTTACAGCGTTTGTACCATAGACAAGATGTACTATAGAACGTGTCAAGACTCCTTTGACAATACCCACCAGACCAACTGCCCCTACCACTTAGAAGGACAACTGCAACAGGTACATCAGAATATCACCACCTGGAAGTCCCTAACAAGCCCTTGACTTACTTCACTTCTAAGTACATCATCAATTGAAATGTATTGACTAAGGTTGATCAAAATTGGAACTCCCTAACTGCACAAGCTCCACATCGGATGGGTTGCAGCGGTTCAAACAGCTGTTCACTACTACGTTCTCAAAGGTAATCAGGGAACAAACAACAGCCGTGCCAGCAATGTTTAGATACCACAAAAACACAGTATTAGAATCCCAATCCAGCCAATTAACACACCACTAACATACTCTCAATCATGTGCCAACTGTCAACCATCTGCGAAGTGATTAAAAAAGGGTCATTAAAGGTGAAATACATAGACTGCAGTCAATGACAGTCTATTAAAACTTACTTAGTAATAACCTGCTCACCAGTGCTCTGCTTGGCTTTTGCCAAGAGCACTCAACTCCAGACCTCATTAGACTTGATTCAAACAAGGTCAGAAGTCACATGACACCAGGTTGTAGCCCAACAGGTTTATCTGAAATCACAACCTTTTGAAGCAGTGCTCCTTCGACAGGCGGAGTCACCATGAGCACCTCCACATCATTGATTGAAACAAGAGCAGAAGTGTTGAATTCAAGATATGACACGAGTGGCTGCATTTGGCATCAATTAAAGCCTAGTCTAGTCTATTGCAAAAGATCCACTTGGATGAGGAACCACCACCTAACGTAAAAGAGATTGAAGCGCAATCTGATTAAGAGTCTGAGCTCAACAGATGGTATGCTGATAATTTAATCATTGGACATGAACTGATCACATGGTAGAATTCTTAAAGTATTTCTGTTCAAACAAGACTAATATAGCAAAAAACCTTCAAACAAGTGCGGCAATAATTAATTTTTTTCAATACGCTCTGCTTATAGGTTAGCAAGAAAAGGAGATGTTATGCATTTAGCTCTTAGCTCACTTATGACGTGTCAAAGTATGGAGTCCAGTTCTGAAGGAGGACCACTGAACCCGAAATATTAACCCTGATTTCTCACCACATACTCAGTAAATATTAGTTCTTCCGAAATTGATGACTATGCCCTAACTTGTACAATATCCA